GGGGTGGGGGGAACCAATGAATGCCAAGCGCTGACAGCTGTCGGGTGGGGTGGGCGGAGGCCCCCCACGCCACCCCCTCTCTCGTCCGGTCCCCTGGAGCTGCAGGGCTGCCCCACCCGCGCGCCGGGCACAGATGTGGCGCCTTTCGCCTGGTGCCCCCTTCCCCTACACCATGCATTATTTTTTGGGGGGGAGCAGAGTGTTGCAGGCGTGCTCAGCCGTCACCTAAGACGCCCCCCTTCCCTCCGTAGCCCTGGCAGCCTCGCTGAAAGTGCGCCCCAGAGACCCCGGGACGCGGGCGGGGAGCGCGCCTGTTTGCCTGGACTGCCTTGCAGGCGACTTGGAAAGTTTTAGGAGCACAGGATGGGAGGAAGGGCCAGGAGGGAGGGCAGGTCCCCAACTCCATTATCCTTGGAGCCTGAGGACAGCGGCCGCCCTGGCGCAGCAGCAGGCGGCGTCCCTGCGCAGACCCGGGTCCCCTGGGCCAGGACGCGGGCTGGGCTGGGACTCGGGTGCGCAGAGCAGGAGCAGCGACCGGGACCCGGGTCCCTGAGCTGCGGCGCCTCTCCTCCGGGGAAGCGAGAATGCCGTGCATGCTGAAAGCATGGACCACAGTGAGCCTGTTGTTGAAAACCACGACCCCGCGCCCCGGGACAGGCTGAAAAACTGGGAGAAAAGGCAGAGAGGAAGGTTTCCAGAATTGCTCTGATTTTTCCTCCCTCTCCCGGGCTGTTTTTGAAGAGGAAGAACCAGGCGAAAGGCGAGGAGAGCGGCCCAGGCAGGGCCACGTGCCAGACAATATTTTCAAATGCCTGCTGGCTAGCAGGCTGGAGAAGTCAGTGTGGTCTATATTAATATTCTAAATTTCTTCTTAGTTCCAGGCCAGTGATGATTGTAAAAAGACAGCGAGGAGAGACAGCCCCGCTTTCGGCCCCCCTGCCCAGGGCCGCAGCCCAGGGGTCCTGTTCGCTCGGTGGCCCGAGGCGGGTGCTCTGTGTGCGGGGATTACGGGGCTGGAAGGGAACTCTCAGGGGCAGAGCTAGCTCATCCCCCAGGCATGTGGAAAGACTGAGCTGCTGCGCATAACCTGGACGCCAGGGGAGTCACTCCGGGGGTATTTTTGTGACCGGGGATTACTTGATCCACACAATGGCCCCGTGGAATCAAGAACTGAGATAGTTCGGAAAATTCAAGCAAACACAGCAAAGCAAGTGCCCTCAGGCTCCAAGCTCAAATGTCAGGTTGGACGAGAGAGTCTATGGTGCTGGGCTGACCGGGCCGTTTTCTGCTTTCGCCGGGGCTGTGTGGCGTGTCGTCTGTGGGGGGTGAAGGTGCTTTATATTTCTTATTGGGGCAGCATTATTTCTATTAGCAAACGGTGACCTTGTTCCAATTCATTAAATTGTTGCAACCTCTCTTTTTCTGCTATTCGAGGTTAGAAGATGGGAAACTGAATTTCATGGTATTTGATACAGTTGCAATACAGATAAAGTGTTGAATAAACTTCTTTATACCCGGCAAAGCCAACAGTCTAGGAATTTTTCATAGTGTTACCGTTTAGGGTCAGAAGGAGTTTTAAAAATAGGTTTTCATTAATTAAAATAAACAGACTGCACAATGAACAAACAAACACATGACTTGCGCAGCTGCACATAATTTCAAATAAGCACTAGGCAAAATTTGCAAAGTGAAATATTTAATAGTTTTCGGTGACAAACAATGATTGGTGTTTCCGCCGAACTTTCTTATAAGAAAGGGAATAAAATTAGAGATTTCACGATGGTTTAGATCAAATCGTGTCATTTTAGGCCACCGTATACTTTTCGGAGACCACACATTAATCATCTGCATCGTGATCGATTTACTCCAGCATGTTTGTCTGTGAATTTCAAAATCCTCTGTCAACAGAGCAAAGAGATCACCCTAAATCATATCCAAGACTTCAGATTTCTGGAATGGCTTATAAAAGAAAGGTACACACTGAGCTGAATAAAGCGGCCGAGGGGCCAGGAATGATTAACCACGAGGGGCCGCCTCGCATCCCGACAGCGCTTCTCCCGGCCCTGCGACCGAAAAGCCGATGCGTTGGGCTATCTGTAGGATTTCATCCCCAAAATGACTG